CTGGGGGTGGTTTTGAACCGTCAGAGCTTGGACTTAGATTCTGACTTCCCCAGCAAGGATCTTCCCACTTCCTGCTCCCCGTGTTCCCACCCTCCAGTGTTGGCACAGGCCCACCCCTGGCCCCACCAGAGCCAGAAGCAGAGGTGGAATCAGGCGGGCCCCGGGCTGCACTCCGAGTCGTGTTCCTGGCCGTCTTCGCTACTTTCCTAGAGAACCTGGCTGTTGCCTTAAATGTGTGAGAGGGACTTGGCCAAGGCAAAAGCTGGGGAGACGCCAGTGACAACATTCAGTTCATGACTAGATTTAGGAATTGGGCACTGAGAAAATTCTCCGTATTTCAGAGAGACCTTCCCTTGTTTGGGACTCCGAACACGGCATCCTCACTGGTTTGTTTTAAGGGAAACACTGTACTCCTGGGTGTGGGCAGAGGCTCTGGTCTTGCCCCTGTGGTTTGACTCTCCTTAGAACCACCACCCACCAGAAATACAAAGCATTAAAATCACACTAATAACCCCCGATGGTCAATCTGATAATAGGATCAGATTTACATCTACCCTAGTTCTTAACATTTCAGCTTTCTCTCCATCTGCAGGTTATTCCCAGTCTCCCAGTAACACGTTGCTACCCAGACCCTTTTCATTTCCTTAAGTTTTGATCTCCGTCTTCCTGCTGAAGCAGGCAGAGCTCAGAGGATCTTGGCATCACCCACCAAAGTTAGCTGAAAGCAGGGCACTCCTAGGTAAAGCAGCTTCACTGAACTCTGGGGAATGGTGCCATTTTTTTCCAAGGTAGAAAGGAAGCACTTCTGAGCCAGTGACCACTGAGAGGTGTGCGCTATGATAATGCAGATGGCCTGTTCGAGGAAGAGGGTGTCTGCCCTTCACAAACACCTCTCTCCCCCCTGCACTAGCCGTCCCACACTCACATACAGAGGCCCTTCGGGAGGGCCTCCGCGCCGCAGGGAGGGTGCGTGGGGAGGATGCTTCCTGCCATCACATGCCTGAAGGTTTCGCGTGAAGCGTGGGAACCACCCCATCATTCAGTGACGTCATTCTTCTCCAGGCTGGCTGGCCCCCTCTGACTAGGCACCCAAAGTGAGCATCTGGGCATCGAGTATTTGCACTTATCTTCCCCCACCTTCTCCATGGCATCTCCGTTCCAGCAGGCATCCCTGGGGCAGGCGTGCTTTGGCTCAAGATGGCCTTCATTTACGTTTAGCTTTTTTCAAAACCGTGGAGGTTGCCCACGGGCCTCGGCACCCGGCCCTGGCAGCACAGCTCTCTCAGGCCCAGCCCTGGGCGACCTCCTTGGCCAAGGCTGCCTTTCGCCCTGGGGTGGGCGTCAGTCCTGGCTCTGCCGGTCCAGATCTTGCACTCAGCACACTCTAGGGAATAATTCCACTCCAGAGACAGGGCTGCTTCGAGGTCTTTCTCCAGCTGACTGTGGCCCCTCCATTTCCCCCATTTTCTTACCACTCCGACCAAAATTGCTTTGACTTCTAAATGTTTCTGCTTCCCAGAATGCACCTGGCTTGTGAAACGGGGATGATACTCCCAGGAAATAGTGCAGGACATCACAAGGACCCAAAAGGCAATTCTTACTTAAATGTGACTGTTTGGCCAGCTGCTGTTGTATTTTATGGCAGTGTTCAGAGCTTGATCACATTATTTCTTCCTTTTATTAAGAAGGAAGCCAATTGTCCAAGTCAGGAGAATGATATGATCACCTGTCACAGACACTTCATTCCCTCTCCCCGCCCCTTCCCAGAGCTGGCAGAGCTAACGCCCTGCAGGAGGACCCCGGCCTCTCGAGGGCTGGATCAGCAGCCGCCTGCCTCGAGGCTGCCCTGGTGAATGTTGCTGGAATTCATCCCTCGTGCACATCCTGTTGTGTTTAAGTCACCAGATATTTTGTTCCCATCAGTTTAGCCCAGAGATAGACAGTAGAATGCGAATACCTCCCTCCCGTAAACTGACTGGACGGCTGCCAAGGAGGCCCCAAACCCAGCCCCATGCAGAGGCACGTGGTTTCCTGTTCTCCCCTCTCTGCATCTGCCCTTTCCTGATAAGCCCAAAGACAACAACTTCTCCACTCGTGACAAATCAACTGTGAGCCTCGCTCCTTCCATTTCTGTCCATTAGAAACCAGCCTTTTCAGCACCTCACCCATTAGCCGCCCCACCACCCAGCGATCAGGCGCCTCAGTAAGGCAGATCCGCGGATGGGGAGCCTGCCGGTGGCCAGAGGTGGTGTTTGTGTTTGTCTCCAGCTCGGTGTTCCATGGCTCCTAGGCGAGGTGATCAGGGAGTGGGGCCAGTGGGTCCCCGGCCCTGGCTGTGGGACCTTGTGCTGAGGGATGATTTGCTGCTGACCTTGATTAACTTAACAGTTCCCAGCTGGAAGGGACACTTCCTGGACCCAGTCCACTGTATGGCATTGGTGATGCAGAATTATGCACTGACATGACCCTGGGTGACAGGAAAGCCTTTCGAGAGGCCCACGGTGGCCTCGCCAGCCCTGCAGTGTTGATGTGCCGGATTGCCCCACGGCTCTGCAGACCTTGGCCATTGCCGCAGTCAGCTTCCTTTTTTCTGTTTGCACTGTTTGTATGATGTTAGCTAATTCCACTGTGTATATAAATTGTATTTTTTTTAATTTGTAAAATGCTATTTTTATTTGAACCTTTGGAACTTGGGAGTTCTCATTGTAACCCTAACATGTCAGAATAAAATGTCTTCTGTCTCCTTTAGCCTCTTGTCTCCATGCTGCTCTTTCTTTCAAGGGATAGTTGGGTTGTATTTTACTTCCCCTCTTTCTGATGTGTGAAAATTACACTAGGACATAGTTTCCGAGTCTCAGAGCTCTCCCTGTGCAGCTGGGCAGGGGGCCTCTTCATTCATGGGGGTCCACTTCTCTGTACTAGGCAGCGACCTTAATGAGAACGGATTTCATCCTGTGGCTCTTAGCAGAAGTCACCGATGTCTGTTTCTCCCTTCAGATGAACACTCTTCCTGATCCTCTCTGGAAATCATCTTCTGCTAGCAGCCGCGTCCCGGAGCAGCAGATGGGGAATCCATTCTGTTTCTTCATGGTGTTTAGGAATTTGCCCCACCAAACAGATTGCCCTGATGTCCAACCCGAAGAAGTGAAACTGCTGTGGGTCTGGAGAGGTGAAGCCCCGTGGCCAGCTTCTGTCACCGCCATCTGCCATTGCTTTTTGTTCCCTTGCTTTTGGTTTTGCAAGAAGCATGGCCTCTGTCTCTGTCTGATCTGCGTCAAGTCATCATTCCATAGTGACAGAAGTGGCCATTCCATCAGTGGTCGCGGCCAGTTCAGCTCCTGCACCCATCCCCACGTGTTCTGTAAGTCCCAGGGGCGTTTTCTGTCTTGTGTTTTTGTCATTTTTCAGTCCGTTCCATTCAATGAGAACTCCCTGTGTTACGGTGACACCTTGGGAATGGGCTACTTCCCCTCCTAGCAACCCATATCACCATCCCAGACCTCAGGAGCCGGGTTTGGGCCAGTGCTGTCTCCTGTCTCTCTTACTTTCATCCTTGTCATTCTCTGCCCCCTGGTCCTGGTATTTAAAGTCCAGGTAGGGAACATTTTGATTGGAGGTGGTTAGATGAGGCTCTCCCCCGACCTCCACCCCTTGCCATCAGTTCACTGGGGGTCTCCGACTTTCCTCTGCAAGGAGCAAGTTGCTACTTTGTTTCCTCTTTTCCCAATTTCTGGACAAGACCAAGGCAATTTGACCAACATTTATGGGGCATCAACTCTGAGAGTGCCGAAGGGGCATTTGCCCTCAAAGAGCTTGCAGTCTAGGGACATAGACACAAGCAATTGCACATGGGCAATTCGTGTTGTGTGCTATTATAACGGTTATGTGTGCAACACTGCCTACCAAGAGACTCATTGTTACTAGGCACGAGGTATCAGGAAAGAAGTGTTCACATGAGCCTTAAGGAATCAGTACAATGTCTTCAGGAGGACCGGAAGAAGGACACCCCAGGTGGAAGGAACAGCAGAAATAAAGGCACAGGGGCATGTGTGGGTGTGGGGTGTTAGAGTGTCATAGGATCTGATGAGGAGGTTGGGGTCCATGGGGGTAACAGGTGGGAAAACAGCTAACTCTGTTTAAGGTGAATTTATTGCCTGGTGTTGTGTGCTCAGAGCAAATACCCTTTTCAGGAGCAGATACAAAAAGGCTGCCTCTTCTCCAGCAGCTCTTATCTTAATAAAATACAAGTCCAGGCCCTTTGGACCCAAATTAGGCAAAGACTATGGCTGTTTTCCAAATACTTGTTAGTACACAAAAGGTACATGAACTCGCAGTTTGTCTGCATGGCAAACTTTTCTTCTCTTTGCTCGGTTTTCATTATTTTTTTGAGACAAGTCTCATTCTGTCACCCAGGCTGGAGTGCAGTGGCACGATACCAGCTCGCTGCAGCCTCCGCCTCCCAGGCTTAAGCCATCCTCCCACCTTGGCCTCCTGAATAGCTGGAACTGCCGGTGCACATCACCACGCCTGGCTAATTTTTAAATTTTTTGTAGAGATGAGGTCTTTATTGCTCAGGCTGGCCTTGAACTCCTGGGCTCAAGTGATTTGCCCACTTTGGCCTCCCAAAATGCTGGGATTACAGGAGTGAGCCACTACACCCAGCCTACTCAGCTTTTAAGCTCAACACTCTGCCTACTCTTTTCAAAACTAAAAGTGCCATTAACTTAGCTGTAGCACCTAACTCTCTCGAAATGTATCAGAGGAAATCTAATTAATACTCTCATTTTCTGAATGTTCCCCCCAAAAACAACAAAAACCCCCGTAACCAAAAAGCACTAAGTGGAATTTGAGGCCTCCCCAACCACCCACCAAAAAAGGAGGGTGAAATGAAAGGAATAAGAAAACCTCAGCATTCTGTTCTCTGACAAAGAGTAAAATGACAAGGAATATCGATCGGCCTGAATTCTCTTCCCCAAGAAGAAATCACACCAACGCAGGCATTTGTCTTCTGTCCATGGTGCTGAAGTTTATTCACTTTCAAACCACTTTCAGTAACAGGTGAGGTTCTACCTTAAAATTTAATGCATGGGGTGGGAGAGGCAAGGAAGCCACCATCACACCACTTTATCTACAGTTAGTGTAAGATGTGAGAAGTGTTGACAGGAAGCTGCAGCTTGGATGGGATGATCACAACTCCATGACAACGAGATGACACGAATGCAGGAGAGACCCCAGCGGGCAGGAACCTCTTGCCGTCTGTCCCAAGGCCCAGCCCTCCTTGTGCTCCCTGGCTGTTATCTTCGGTACTACAAAGAGAACACAGACATATCTGGCTTGGTGACCTGGCTGTCTTGGAAAAGTCAGCTTCATGTGTGAGTGTGCCCATCCTCTGAACTTGATTACTGACTACCTGCTTCCCACCGGCCCCCACCCCAGCCTGATGACCCTCTGAACTTCATGAATTGATAAGCAAGTTACTCATCAGAGTAAATTTCAATTGAGCCCTTCAGGATCTTGCAATTCTGGGGAGGAACATGAGCTGCTAATCAGCCATGCAAAGATAACTTGGCCCTATGACTATTTTAATTTCCCAGTGCTAGTGGCAGTTGCTTCTTCTTTTCTTTTTTTTTTTTTTTCTTTGAGACAGAGTCTCACTCTATCACCTAGGCTGGAGTGCAGTGGGGCAATCTTGGCTCACTGCAACCTCTGCCTCCTGGGTTCAAGTGATTCTCCTGCCTCAGCCTCCCGAGTAGCTAGGACTATAGGCACCCAGCACCACCGTGCCCAGCTAATTTTTGTATTTTTAGTAGAGACGGGGTTTCACCATGTTGGCCAGGATAGTCTCGATCTCTTGACTTCATGATCCACCTGCCTTGGCCTCCCAAAGTGCTGGGATTATAGGCGTGAGCCACCGTGCCCGGCCCTTTTTTTTTTTTTTTTTTTAAGCATTTTCTCAGCAGACTGTAGCTAAGGACAATAGATGGCGTGTCCTGACACCCATGGGGCACTCACAGTGTTGGGGCAGAAACTTGAGAGAGAATGAGCTTCTGCATTGGTCTCTTTCCTGCTGAGGGTGTCTCCCAGTAGTGTCCATCCCATCCCATTTCCATCCCCAGTTCCTCTTACCCGGAAGCTGTTACAGCCCAGTCCGCTCTGGGCTCCAATCCTGTCCATCCTGCCCCCGAAGCAACTGGATCTCCGCAGGCTCCGAGGGGCAGTGAGCAGCGCCCTCAGCTTGCTTTTTAAGAGGGCAGATCGATCGGAGGAGTCCCAGGGGCTCTGCCCGAGGGCACCCCCATCTCTCTGGGCTGGGCTGACATCCCCGGTCCAGGGAGGCACCTCAGGGAGGGGGCTGAGAGCAGCCCCCGCTTCTTCATTCTGCTCTCTGAGCACTTGTGGGGGCACGACCTCATCTTCTAAAGGCATCTTTTCTTCCAAATGGTCCAGCAAATTCTTTACAAAAGGAAAATACAGGGAAAGGGATAAACCTCATTGACTTGGAGAAAATCAAGAGGCGTGAGCACAGCATCAGAAAGCCCCGTGGCCCCAGACTGCACCCGCTTTCCTGGCCCTACCTTGAAATCCATCAGGTCTGCGTTGGACACGGCATTGTACATGGGATTAGCTCTGGTCTGACCTGGGAGCTGGAATGCCAGAAAAAGGAGGAAGCTCACACTGATGGTGGAGAAGGAGCTCATGCTGGCGTAGTCAAGGAGCAATCCACTGCTTGCTGCTCTGTCTCTCCCCTCTGGTTCCTCTCTGGTTCCCCTCTCTTGGCCTACGTCCGTCCCTGTCTCCCAGCTGCCCAGTGCCTCCTCTTTTTATAGCCCCCCAGCTCTCCAAGCACGCAGGAGAGACAGAACCCTCCCCATTCTGTCACTTGCAGCGATAAAGCAGCCAAGTGAGAAGCCAGCAGGAGATGCCCTTTTAAAGTTATCATCCCGCAGGGCTTGTCACAGCCCTTCTGCCTTGGGCAGCCCCAACAGCCCCCCAGACCCTCGGCTGCAAGAGCCGCATTCTTGCTGATTTGACTCAAGAGGCTTCCACTTCAAAGGTGTGAGAAGAGTAAAAAAGAGTCCTTGGTTATCTCACCACCATGCCTCAGGATTCTTTCTTCTCGATGCTGGTACCCATGCGGGGAGACAGAGGGTGACGCTTGGCTGCTGCCCAGCTCCCCTGGTTTGTTTGTGGCTCAGCTGTCAGGGCCTCCAAATAAGGGTGGAGAGGAGGAAATGGCAGGCAGCCAGCAGCCCGAGACAAATGGGTCCATATGCTCAAGCTGGCCTCACACCTGCCTCATCCGCCACGTGGGCAGACCTCTGGCCTCAGACAGGGCTGCCCTCACCCCTGGCAGTCCCTCTCCATGGTCAGACAAAAGGGAGTTATTTTTTAGTGTATAAAGTCAGCCAGGAACCAAATGTGATGAAGCTCCAAGCCCCGAATAGAAATACCAAGAAAAGCCGGGGAAGCACAAGCATCTTCTCTCCAAAGCTCCTCCTCTTCCACGTCCCCCGCGACCCTCCTCCAACATGCTGTGGGGACAGGCTTAGAGGACGCAGCGAATTTCGTTTCTTCCTTTGCTGTTTATACATGCTCAGACTCTTCGTGTTTGAAGTTTGTAACAGCCCCCTGCCCTTCCTGGGCTTGTGCCCATAGCAACTTAGCCGATGAACGGAGGGAGGTGGGGGTGAAGGAGGTATAGTCGGTTTCCTTCAATGCCGTCTACATCCTTCCCTGAGGACGTGGCAAGGGGCAAGTGACTGAGCCACCAAGGTCACAATTTCTCTGGCCCCCAAAAGAGAAATAACAGGCAACGAGCCTATCTATGTTTAACGAATGGCCTGTTTGCTAAGCACCGAACTCAGTGTTAGCCATTACCATTCAATGCAACGTATACTGGGGGAAAACACTAAATTTGAAGGACTGACAGACCGGCACTCTAGCCCCAAACCAACCAGTTGCATACATCTTCGCAGCCTTATTTTCCTTGTGTGTAAAATGAGAAAGACTGTGCTGAGAACTTTATGGAAATGATTTTATTTTGATCATCATCCCCAGCTGGTGGTAGACCGCATTGTCCTTGCTTACAAGGGAACAGAACTGAGCCTGAGGGGCTATGCCGCTTGCCCAAGGCCACTAGGTGCCTAAGTGGCAGAACCAGGACTGGAACCCCAGGTCTGACACTGATGTCCGCATCCTAGCCTATTTCACGTAGGGTGCTGCCTCTTTACCCCTTAGCTGCATTCCCCTATTAAAACCACCATTCCCCATCTTTCAGATGCCCCAGGGAGCTCCTTCACCTTCCCCATGCCCCTGGGGCTGTAGCTTTTTTGTGCACTTACCAAGGCTGTGTGTGTTTGGCTGCTCTCCTAATCTATTTCTACACCGAATGTGTTTTAATCCACTCCTTAGAAGCTCAGAAAATGTGTGTTAAGTGACCAGCTCTGTCCTGGCCAGATCTGTCCCCAGGTGTGCTGACCTCATGACTGACCAGGTGGACAGGGCATTGTGCAGCCATAAGGTTGGAAATCAGGGCAGCAAGTGACCAGAGGTCACAGAGGTATCCAGGGTGATATTATTCTAAGATAAGCTAAAAGGAACCCTCTTTGGCAAGCCTTGGGGGATGTGTATACTGGGGGATCTAATATTTCATGGGATGTTTAGAAGCAGCCTGTAGGAGTGAGAGAGAAGAAAAGTAACAGGCACAGATTTGGCAATTGATTTGAGTCAGCCAAGCTCAACTTGAAATCTGAAATGGTTGGGAGGCCGAGGCGAGTGGATCACAAGGTCAAGAGATCGAGACTGTCCTGGCCAACATGGTGAAACCCCGTCTCTACTAAAAATACAAAAAAATAGCCAGGCGTGGTGGCAGGCGCCTGTTGTCCCAGCTACTTGGGAGGCTGAGGCAGAAGAATGGCGTGAACCCAGGAAGCAGAGTGAGCCGAGATCGCGCCACTGCATTCCAGCCTGGGCCATAGAGCGAGACTCCATCTCAAAAAAAAAAAAAAAGAAACCTGAAATGGGTGCAATTCTTTTTTTTTTTTTTTTTTTTTTTTAAATTGAGACAGGGTTTGCTATGTTGCCCAGGCTTGTTTTAAACTCTTGGGCTCAAGCAGTCCTCCTGCCTTAGCCTCCCAAAGTGCTGGGATTACAGGACTGAGCCACTGTGCCCAGCCTGAAATTGCTGCAATTCTAAGTAGGAGCTTACAGGACAAAAACCTCTCATATCCTGATGAGTCCCTGGAATGTGCTCACAGCGTAATTGCTCAGTTGGAAGGGTTATTATTAGCGAAGAGGATCCAGTGGGCACCCTCACTGGGGGAAACGCGTGCTGGTGCTGTGTGCGTCACTCCGCCTGTCTCCTGGAGATGCCCTTTGAGATGAACCTTTGATATAAGCAGAGACTTCCGTGGCAATGCTGCTCCTCTGTCCTGAGCCACTGCTGAAGTCTGTAGGTAGTCCAAGGAGAAGCGGAAGTCCCATCCAAGGTTCTAGAAAGAGAATTTCAGAATTTTCCCACTTCCTTTTATTAAAGTCACTTTTCCTCTTCCAGAGTGAAACAAGTGAGACGTGAGTGTCGTCTGTGGAGTCTCTCTTAGCCAGGTTTTTTTTTTTTTTTTTTTTGCCAGGGGGAGGAAATGGATATTCAGCTGTGCTGCGCTGCGCGTTTTGAATAGAACCAGCATCACTGCCTGCACTAACAGAGCGCCGCAAAAACACAAACCATCCTCAAAGGCACTTATTACCCCCAATCTTATTAAAGCCCACACCGGAAAGCAGCTTGACATAAAATTTCTCTTCATTTCCATACTCCCGCTCAGCCTGGAGAGATGTGTGCGGGGGGATCTGGTATTTAATAGGGTGGTTAGAAGCAGCTTGTGGGAGTGAGAGAGAAGAAAAGTAACAGGCACAGAAAGCCAGGCCCACCCCCATCCCCACCTCTTCCGTGCTGAAAAATCAAAAGCCTTTTATTTCCTGATCACTGGAAAGAAGTCATCTTAGTCATACGACGGGCAGAGCACTGCAAATGGGTGGGAGAATCCAGAATCCAGGTGTCGCCAGATTCCAGCCCAGAGTTTGGCTTCACGGTTCTCTGGGGGGATGCTGCGGGCTGCTGCAGGGAGCCCCAGAGTGTGCAGTGTCACCCACGTGCAGAGCTGGTATGAAAACCCCAACGCATTCGTGGCATGATTCTGCAGGACCCAGATGGTCTGAAGCAGAAGCCCCAGTTGGGAGAAATTGGTACATATTTAAGGATGATCATTGCTAACTTTGAAAATGATGTTTTGTTTCTTTGGTTTTTTGTTTGTTTGTTTGTTTTTTGAGACGGAGTCTCGCTCTGTCGCCCAGGCTGGAGTGCGGTGGCACAATCTCGGCTCACTGCAAGCTCCGCCTCCCGGGTTTACGCCATTCTCCTGCCTCAGCCTCCTGAGTAGCTGGGACTACAGGTGCCCGCCACCTCGCCCGGCTAGTTTTTCGTATTTTTTTTTAGTAGAGACGGGGTTTCACCGTGTTATTAGCCAGGATGGTCTCAATCTCCTGACCTCGTGATCCTCCCATCTCGGCCTCCCAAAGTGCTGGGATTACAGGCTTGAGCCACCGCGCCCGGCCTGTTTCTTTGGTTTAATATGGAGGTCACTAGGGACAGTTTTCCTAGAAAACAAAGCCCAAGGCAAAAGGTCACTCACTAAAGTTTTGTGGGGGTTCCTATTCAAGGGAAGCAAGAGTGAGGGGGAAAGGAAGTGAGAGGGTGCTTTAGTTAACTACTACTGGGTAACAAGTCACCCCAGACTGGGTGTGGTGGCTCACACCTCTCATTCCAACACTCTGGGAGGATCGTTTGAACCCAGGAGTTCAAGACCACCCTGGGCAATATGGCAAAACCCCATCTCTACTGAAAAGACAAAAAATGAACTGGGTGCGGTGGTGCGTGCCTATCGTCACAGCTACCCTGGACACTGAGGTGGGAGGTTCACCAGAGCCCAAGAAATCGAGGCTGCAGTGAGCCATGACCAAGCCATTGCACTCCAGCCTGGGTGACAGAGTGAGAACCTGTCTCAAAAAAACAAAAGCCAGGCATGGTGGTGCATGCCTATAATACTAGCACTTTGGGAGGTTGAGGCAGGAAGATCCCTTGAGCTCAGGAGTTCGAGACCAGACCGGGCAACATAAAGAGCCCTGTCTTTAATTAAAAAAACAAAAACAAAAACAAAAACAAAAACAACCAAGTTACCCCAAACCTCAGCAACTTCACACAATGCACATCTATTATCTCATTGCCTCTGTGCTCTGTGGATCAGGGATCTGGCCCTGCTTGGCCTGGGGCCCCTGGGCAATTAAGTCGTTGACTGGGGCTGCAGTCATCTCAAGAGTTGGCTGGGGGAGGATGTGCTTTCAGGCTCCACTCCTGCAGTTGTTGGCAGAAGCCACAGGTTCTTGCTGGCTGGTGGCTGGTGGAAACATCAGTTTCTTGCCACATGGGTCTCTCCATGGAGATGCAACTGTCTTCTGTTAAAGTCAGGGGAGAAAGAGACAGAAGTTATGGAAGAAGCCACAGGCTCTGTAAACTAATCTCAGAAGTGACATCCCATTCTTCATGTTGTGCTGTTCTGTGTCCCTCAGAAGTGAGTCTCTGGGTCTCGCTCACAGTCTAAGGGAGGGGGTTACAGAGGGTGTGAAGACCAGGAGTTAGGGCATCTTTAGGGGTCCTCTGAAATCACTGCCCGCACAAATAGGAAGGAGAGCAAATGTAAGGTGACATTGGCTGAGTGCAGTGGCTCATGCCTGTAATCCCAGCACTTTGGGAGGCTGAGGTGGATGGATCACTTGAGATCAGGAGTTCGAAACCAGCCTGACCAACATGGTGAAACCCCGTCTCTACTAAAAATACAAAAATTAGCCAGGCATGGTGGCGTGCACCTGTAGTCCCAGCTACTTGGGAGTCTGAGGCAGGAGAATCATCAAGGGCGGGGCTCTGCAGGAGGGCTGACTTATTTGGAAGTGTCTCAGTTTAAGTTCTCTTGAACCGGAGACAGGGATTCCAGTATTTGTGACTGATCTTGGAAACAAGCCCAGGAAATGTCAGCAGA